CGGTTGATCGATGGGAATTATCCCTTCAGATGAGACAGGGATAGCCTTAGTGGATGTTACTCGTATCGGGGAAGAATCAATCTCTAGAACTTCTGGGAGCTTTCTAGGTGCATGAGTGGATTCTTCTTCCATCAAGAATCCCACCCAGTCTGTTAGCTTATTGATTTTAGCATCTTGATTTTGCATGCACTTGGTCAAGCTAGCGATTGCTTCCGTTAAGTTCGCCAACTGCTATTCCGCAGATGAAATATTTGTCTATCACCATGGCTTGTATGATTGTTGTAGATGATGGGGAGTAGCATGGATTGTCATACAGATCGATTTTCAAATGGCTCATGCTACGCGGTGTAAGTGGGGAGGATCCATCACTTGAAGCATCGTCATCTTCCTTCACAGCCAAGTTCTTGGATCCGGAGAGGTCAAGCAGAGCAAGAGTTTTCTTGATCTTTTCAGCAACATCGCTTGCACCTTTGGGTACGTTTGTGGAAGATCTTGCTCCTTTTGAGGATGAAGATCCAAAAACAGAGGTTGATGCAGACGTCACTTGGGGTGCTTGTTGTCCTAACGAGCTTGCTTTGCTCCTCGTAACAGGTCCAAAGCTTCCAAAGGTAACATCGAGGATGCTTTCCACAACAGCATAGAACCTGGAATTAGCAGCCTTGGTGGAAGTTGAACTGGAGTTGATTTTCTTTGAAGCCATTTCAATGTTCTTGAACTTCGGTGATTGAAAATTTGAAATGATCGGTCAGGAAAATAATCGAGACCGAAAAATAGAGCAACAATCGTAGTATTTGATTTCAAATATTTGAGTGTACAATCTCTATGAATTCTCTAATTCTTCTTTCTAATAGTAAATAAATTCAAGGACCTTTGAGCTTGATCTTGAATCTATATTTGTTTCCACGAACGATGATCTTGAATTCAACTAGCATGAACTTTGATTTGAACTCGTACTCTTTGAATCTTGACTTGTTCTTCATTCTTGAGCTTGAACTTGATTTCTTGAGCTTGAAGTTCTTCGTTCTTGAGCTTGAACTTGAACTTGATTGCTTGAAGCTTGAAACTTGTAGAGAAATTTGCGGCGTTTGATCCACGAGCTCTCTTGCTTCTTGTTATAACTTCTGGTATCTTCTCTAGGTTATGAATACCCCTATTTATAGTTGCGGAACGGAGGAGTTGTGATTAGAACAAACTCTTTCGGACCAATCAAATTGGAGTGTGACATGGCAGCATTTGATTGGCCAGAACATGTCACTTGCACACGTGGCGCTGTTTCATTGGCCTTTTAATGTGATTTGGCATGCCTTGTCATTTTGATACGTGGCATGATCCTATTGGCTCTTCCGTTTGACTTGGCGTGCCACGTCATTTCAAATGTGGCACCAACTGGGCTCTTTGAAGATGTCATCTTGGGCCTAATGAAGTGGGCTCATCACTTTAGCCCAATGGATTAAGACTTATTTATTTAATCCATATATATTAGATATATATAATTAATCCAATTATATTAGCCAATAATATCTATTTGGACTAATATATCTTGAACTATAAAATATAATTCAAATTATTTTATGAATTTAATTTTATTAAAATTTATATGCCTATAGTATACTTTCGCTAGAGTTTATGTTGTATAAAAAGGTATTATTACTCTTTTTTCAAGTAAAACGATCCATATATGGAAAGTATAAAATCAGTTATGGAATGAATTAGTTTTCAATGAAAATAGGAAAAAATATTATCATTTAAATATGTTAAGAACAATGGCGGAGTTAGGATTATCATTAAGGGGAGTCAAAATATAAAGATATAAACTCAACAAAAATCTAGGGGTGTCATTACATAGTATGTGTGCGTGTCATTACCGAGCAACATAATATAATTTTTCGAAGAAAGGGTGTCGGTTGACACCCCTTTGGTGCATGTGGCTCCGCCACTAGTTAAGGATTGGTTTCAAGAGGAAATATATAGGAAAAAATGTTAAAAGTACTATGAGCGTTTTCATTAAGGAAATAAATGCATTAGGTGTGTGATTACAGGTACATGGTTTAAAGGTGACTGCTAGGAATATAATTATTTAGTTTCCATGTGTGTAAAATAGCTACTGCTGCTATTTTTCTGAAATTTTTTCTTAAATTTTGCCTATTATGTTTTTGCCTGTCGAAATAGGACATTGTCACCCGTTGAATAATGAAAACCCAATTCGTCTTCTATTGGGCTTGTTAGTCTTCTTAGCCTCTTACTTTGGGCCAAAATCACTCGAAGATTTCGTAAAAATGGCGTGGGATAGCCACTTTTTAACATGATATTTAGTTTATATCCATTATTTTTAATGCTGAGCAAAAATAGCCACTACTCTATTAAAATTAATACGAAAAGACGTCGTTACCCTTTATTCATGAGTGATGTGTAAATATTAAGGACATGGCGTCCTTAACATTTACACTGCACACATGAAGTTAAGGACGTCGTGTCCTTAATATTTACACTGCACATATGAAGTTAAGGACATGATGTTCTAAAGTTTAACAACGGAAGGTGCAAATACAGGACACTTTGTCCTTAATATTTACACAACATTCATGAAGTTAAAGACATCATGTCCTTAATATTTACACAATACTCGTAAAGTTAAAGACACTATGTACTTAACATTTACACTGCACACATGAAGTTAAGGACAACATGTCCTTAACATTTAAATTACACATATGAAGTTAAGGACATGAGGTCCTAAAGTTTAACAACAAAAGGTGCAAATACAAGTTAAAGACATTATGTCCTTAACATTTACACTGCACACATGAAGTTAAGGACGTCATGTCCTTAACATTTACAATGCACATATATGAAGTTAAGGATATGATGTCCTAAAGTTTAACAACGGAAGGTGCAAATACAGGACACTTTGTCCTTTATATTTACATAGCATTCATGAAGTTAAGGACATTATGTTCTTAATATTTACACAGCACCTATGTCTAGCATAGAGGTATTTTTGTTCGGGCGGGTAAAAATTTATTAAGCACCGGCTAAAGAGTAAATACATTTTAAACAGTGGCTAAAGAGTAAAGACATTTCTAATTAGTGGCTAACTGTGCACTTCTCCCTGAAGATTACAATAAAAAGAAGATTAAAGATTCTTAAATATTTAGCCGAAATAGTCATCCACTCAATTGATTAAACTAAAGAAAAACAGTAAATACATAAAATATGTATAATTTATATATAATATGTATCTAACGTATATGATTAGCTTATAATCTTTGTATATCAGCTAAAAAGAGTAAAGATCCGAAAGAGATTTTCGTTGTTCTTATAATTTGATTTAGTCAAATAAGCTTCTATCCCAAACTTGTTGGTTGGTCCTACAATCCCAAACTAGCGTGCTACATTAGTCGTCTATATTCATTTTGCTCTATTCGGATGCATTTGATTCCAACACAATAAAAGTCTATTTTGAACTTATTCAAAATATCACAAAATAAATTAATTTATTTAAGAAGTGATCACATGCACGACTTTGTTGAACTTGAACTTATGCAATGCCCTGGAAAAAATTCCTTTAGTTTTTAAATTCGAATTTGAATCTTGATCTCTCATATTTTCATTATAGCTTCATTTTTCTGCTAGATTATAAGTACCACAATTTTGGTTCATCTTCACTATGGTAACATACAATGACACCAATAAGTTTGATTCAGTGTGTCACATTCAACATCTATTAAGTTTATTAAAGAAAATGATTTTTTTATTTCTCCATAAAATTAGTTGATTGGGTATCGTTTGGAAGAAAAAAAGATCTCTTTCTCTTTTATGACAATCTGACAGAGACAATAAGCATTATTTACACAAAATCTAAGAATGTTATGCTTTGACCATCATGCTTTGAAAGCTAGTAAATCTTTTTCTATTTTTCATCTTTTTAAAACTAAGGTCGTTATTTAATCAATAAATTGTTCCAACAAAAAGCCAAGATAGATTGGTTTGGCAATCATTGAACCAATTATTCAGGTGGGACTTATTACCCAACCTTGTCACATGCATTTGTTCTCCCTTGACTAGTTTGGTAATCATTGAACCAATTATCAATGATTAACTAACTTCACTTCTCAAATGTAGTAAATAAACTATAAATATTACAAAAAGAAAAACAGACAAGAACCAAAATAAAACTATGTAATAATTCTTTCCGTATTCCTTTTTTTTTTCTCTGTTAAATTACAAGGGGTCGTGTTTTACCTTATTTGACCTTATTAGCCAAAATAATCATCACATAAAATTTCAAGGCAAGTGCACATATAGCCATTTTTAAGGATGCTATTTAGAAATTAGGCAGTATTTATTTTGACCCGAATTTTAAACTAAAAATCTTAATTGTCATTTTGACCCGAATTTTAAACTAAAAATCTTAATTTTAGGACAATTCAAAATATTTTTGTCCTGAAAAATTAAACAGAATAAAAACTGAATTTCATGACGCACTGGCTAATTCCTAAATAGCAACCCTTTAGAGTGACATAAAAACTGATTTTCATGACCCACTGGCTAATTCCTAAAAAGCAACCCTTTAAAGTGACATAAAAACTGAATTTCATGACGCACTGGCTAATTCCTAAAAAGCAACCCTTTAAAGTGACATAAAAACTGAATTTCATGACGCACTGGCTAATTCCTAAATAACAACCCTTTAGAGTGACTACCTGGTGTCATTTCTACTAAAATTTCGAATAAGTTCCAATATTTGGTTAGTTGTACAAGAAAAAAAAATCACCGTATCGTCCCATTGGCCTTATTAAATTCCATGTTGCTAACACTTGCATTAGTTACACATAAATGTGTGATTGTTTTATGCGAAATAGAGTGTAAAAATACATATAAATTGTCCCACTATAACATTTCTACATTATTATTCATTATACAACAAATTCATACATATTATTCACTACATAAATAATCTTTGAATTAGAATACATTCACAATTTTGTCACAAACCAAACGACTCCAAAATGTAGTAAATTGAAAAAGAATATAGAGTTAACAATTGAAAGAAATAAACGGTGATATTATACAATCAATAGTCTAATGCCAAAACCTCTACGCTCTGTACTATAGGTATGAATTGAAGGGTAAATACAACACAGAAAAAAAAAATTAAAATTCCTATAATCAACAAATACTAAAAGCTAAACCAACTACAACAAAAATCCGATTTAATTGTGTACCAAAAAACTTAGAAAATGTTGAGAGTGAAACAGAATTTGAAGGTTCAGGACTATCATCACTCACTTCATGTGGATGATCAAAAGAAGCAGGAACTATTGTATCTGGTACCGATTCATCGTCACCGGAAATCGGACTCATCGGAGCCTCTGAATCGTCGTCAGACGGATTTCTGAGGCTCCGAGCTAATCCTTGACCACGTGTCACGTTTATTTTAAAATTCTGACCGTTTTGGCATTGTTCGCCGTCGTAATCGCCAGAGAAAAAATAAGTAGTTCCAATTTTTAGAAGTGGCACGGCAATTGAAACCGGATAAACTGAAGTTGATGATGGATCTGTTGATGACCATTGTATAGTATCGTTGTTTAGGGCATTGTCGTAATCACAACTTTTGTATGTGGTAAAGTTGTAAGTTTGAATGACTGAATGGTTATTGTCCGTGTTGAAAACTGCATTATTAAACAAAAAAAGAATTAGAAGAAGAAATTTTTTAATTATGATATTCAAAAGTATAGGAGGATTTACAGCGTTGGATCCAAGATTTTCACTGTGAGAAGTCAAAACATGAAGAAGCAAATATACGAAAAATCAAAGGAATTTAACGTATAGTATATACAGTTAACTTCTCTATAACAACGTCATTTGTTCCGATATTTTTTTGTTGCTATAGCAAAATACTGTTATAGAGAACATGTAATAATAAGACGAAATGAAAATCGATTCGAAAATAAATTTGACCATTATACTGAAATGTTGTTATAAAGAATGAATGCAATGGAAAGAAGTTTGACTGTATATACATTTAAAAAAAAACTATCTAGTTAAACAGTATAATTTTTCGGCCAAAGTGTGCTAATGGCTCCACCACTGCCTACTAGGAACATATGACACAGTGGTAACTGTGCTGCTAGAATGAGAGACGGATCCAGGATTTGAATTTTATGAGTTCCTACCGTAATTTTAATTTTAATATACAATAATAACTTAATTCACAATTAGATATTTATAAATATTTTGTGAATTTCTTAATAGATATACATCGTCTATGCAAAAGTTATTGGGTTCCCGGGAATTAGGCAACAACACTCTAGATCTGCCACCGGCTAGAACGTAGTATGTACCAGATAAAATAATTGAGATGCGCGTAAGCTAGTTCGAACAACCAGTAAAAAAAAAAATAGGAGGTGGGGGAGGGGGGAGGGGTTATGACATAGAATGATGAAATGGCTTCATTTTCGGAACATGTGCAAGCATATGGATATGGTCAGTACTAACATGTTACTTGTACAATATCTTATCATAACACAAACTTCGACAACTAACATATCAAAACAGCATAGCCTTGGCTAATTTGCGTTAAAACAATGCTAACAAATACAGCTATTTATGATTATAAAATTCCAAAGTCACCAAAAATCAAGTGACAGATTGGTAATTCCAAAAATAGTAAGTGCAAAGATAAATTCATTAGGTGCAACTTTATGTAAATCATTTATCACTCTGGTAATATAAATATTTCATAAGTCTCATGTACACGAAATTTTCTGCAGACATAAGCTATATCCTAATTGGAAGATCCATAAACCATTTCCAATCAAGATTTTCTGTGTGCTTGTGACACTGAAATATAGAGTTATCTTAACTAAGGGCTCGTTTGGTACGCGAACTAAATTATTCAGGATTATAATTCTAGGTACTAATTTATACCACATGAGAGATGGGATAAAATAATCTCACATTTGATGGGATAATGCGGGATAAGATGGGATAAGATGAGATATTCTGGATTAAGTCTATGATTAAATTTATACCTTGTTTGATTGGCGGTATAAATTTATACCTCCAACCAAACAAGGTATAAATTTGATCCTACATCTTATCCTACCTCATATCTCATACCAAACGACCGTCGTTGTTTGTACGCAGGATAAGGTGGGATAAAGTGTCTGATTAAATTTATACTATATTTGGTTGACGGTACCATCAACCAAACATAATATAAATTTTTCATAGACTTAATCCTAGATATTCCATCTTATCCTATCAAACTTGGAATTGGGATTATTGAACTTCCAGGTGGGATAAATTTGTCGGAGATTATAATCTCTAGACAATACTTCCGAGATAGTTTAGTCCGCGTACCAAACGACCCCAAAAGAATTTTAAAACGGATTGATCAAGAAAACTTACTGAGAAAATCACCAAGGCTAAAGTTTTTGCCAGCAACCCATTTTCCATAATTAACAGTAGGCTTTTGAAGATTATCAAACCAACCCAAAGAATCACCTACTGTGTAATTCTTGTAAGCATCAGCTGATCTTGAAAAGGAAATGAAGAAAAAAAGTAGAAGAAGAAACCATTGAAGTTTACTGTTAAAACTCTCTCCCATTTTTTGTTTGGAATTTTTTTTGGAAAAGAAACAGTCCAAGAAGAAGAAGAATAAAGGCAAAGATGTATTAGTAAGAAATGTGCTGGCACAGTGGCAAAAGCCTTTTGTTTTGTTTTTATATAGAAGACCTTGTTCCTTTCTTAAATTTACTAGAATGGTTCTCTTTTTATTTGAGCTGTGTTTTCTTCTTAATTTTGCAGATTTTTCCAATTAGAGGCATTGGTGATGTTGGAAAAGGGGTTTCCGCGTAATTGGTAATTAAAGTTGTTGTACTGTGATCAGGAGATTACGGGTAGAAACAACTTATTGTAAAAATACAGGATAAGACTGTATACAATAGACTCTTATAGTCCGCCCCTTTCTCGGACCTCGTGCGTAGTAAGAGTTTAATGAACCGAGCTACCTTTTTTTAGGCATTGTTTATGTTTAAAGTCTTGTTATACATGGATAATGTCAAAAAACTTTTATATTATCAATGTAGTTTAATCGATTATAATTTGACGTATTTTCTAGGTTTAATTTCTAACTAATCACTTTTTAATTTTAAGGATGATCATCCATAATTATCTTTTTAATGACTTGATAATGTAATTTTTTTAGATTATCAATGTATAAAAATTAAACTCTCATTCGTCATTTTTTTGCTTGTGTGTTTTCAATAGTATTAAAAATCAAGGAAATATTTATATTTACACACATACAAACAAAGCGAATGAATAACTCGCATGAAACTAATATTAAGTGTAGTCAATTCATCTTATTTAATTTGAATGTCTCGTTTTCTATTACTTAATAATGTCTTTGAACATAAAACTTTTAATATCAAAAGTAGCAACTAGTTAATACATATTATGTGCTCTTTCACTATCTAAATATTACTAGCTAACTTAGAAAAATGATAATTCAAACATCAAATTAAATAAATGAACTAAGGTTTTTGTTTGAAGTAATTAAATAGGTGGGCAACTGTCTAATATAGTATAGTAGTTGGGGCAAATTAAATTTAAGTTGGGGCAAGTAGAGTTTGGTTAAATGTCAAGTTCATTGTACTATTAGCTCATTTCAATAATAATAATAATAATAATAATAATAATAATAATAGAAGTTCTCTATAGTATTTTTGATTGGTATAAGTATATCACACAGGATTAAAAGATCTTAAAAGAACATAAACACTTAAAGTAAATATGCTTAGTTGACTGAAATATAGTACCATTAATAGGTATCACTTATATAAATATTTTAGTTTTAACTAAGTGTTAATAAATTTCAATAGATTGTAAGTCTTTCGAAATAATTTTTTTAATGTAATATTAGATCTATCTTGTTTTTAAACACGTCATTTCACCATAGTTTCACACTTACGAATTGCTGTATCTTGAGGTTTACCCAGACATGATCAAATTATATAATATGGAGAAAAACATTTTAAAACATAATAGGGTATATGCTTTTATTAAAATTAAAAACCTTTATAAAAGAGAACTACTTGTTGGTCGGCAAAGAATCTACCGTTCTGCTTTTAGGCAGAATTATTTTATATTTTTTCCTGTTAACAAAAGACAGAAGTAGAAGTTGAAGTGTTAATTCAAGAATTGCAGATAAATTTCAAAACAAATGGTACTTTATGTAATAAAATAAAAACTATAAAAGAAATAAACTGAAAACAAGTATAGAGGGAGATTGATATTTTATTCAACTTTCAAAGTTATGTTCATAATGAACCGAAAACTCCTCTATTTATAGAAGAAATGAAGCAGCTGCGAGACTTTTCAGGAAGCAACTGAAAGACTTTTTTTTTAGCTGCTTGTAAGCTGTCTTCATGAGCTGCTTGCAACCTGCATGTTTAATAAGATTGTTGCAAATTATTTCATTGAGTTGCTTGCAACCTGCCTCCATGAGCTGCTTGTAAGCTGTCTACATGAGTTGCTTGCAACCTGCCTGTTTAATAAGAAGCTGCTGCAAATCATTTTATTGAGTTGCTTGCAACCTGCCTGCATCAGCTGCTTGTAGATAAATTTCAATAGAGTACTAAATGGATAATCTTCTTCAGGAAGATTATCTATAGCGCAGTAATGAATGGACATCCACAATATAATATTTTCATAACATTCCCTCTTGGATGTTCATTAAAAGATAATGTGTCTCGTTAAAACCTTACTAGGAAAAACTCAGTGGGAAAAAACCTAGTGAAGGAAAAAAAAAGTACACATATTTAATAATACGCATTTCTAGTAGCCTCATTAAAAACCTTTCAAGAAAAATCCCATGGGAAAAAACCTTAGTAAGGAAAAAAAGAGTACAGTGCGTATTTCACTCCCCCTGATGAAAATCTTGTTTCAAATATTTGAGTCTCCGCATTCCAAACTTGTAAACCATCTTCTCAAAAGTTGAAGTTGGCAAATATTTAGTGAACAAATCTGTCGGATTGTCACTTGAACGGATTTGTTGCACATCAATATCACCATTTTTCTGAAGATCACGTGTGTAGAATAATTTTGGTGAAATGTGTTTCGTTCTATCTCCTTTTATAAATCCTCACTTTCATTGGGCTATGCATGCAGTATTGTCTTCGTATAAAATTTTGGATCTTTTATCACATTTCAAACCACATTTTTCTCGAATGAAATGAATCACTAATCTCAACCATACGCATTCCCTACCGGTTTGAGATCGAGCTTTATGGGAATCAGATAAATAACGTGCATCTGCATAACCAACAAGATCTGCACTACCTTTGTTAGCATAAAACAAACCCATATGAAGAGTTCCCTTTAAATATTGCAATATATGCTTAATCTCATTCCAATGTCTCCGTGTAAGAGAAGAGCTATATCTTGCTAGTAAATTAACAGAAAACGTTGTGTCAATCCTTGTAGCATTAGCAAGATACATAAGTGCACCAATTGCACTGAGATAGGGTGTTTCAGGACCAAGGAGTTCCTCGTCCTCTTCTGGAGGTCGGAACGAGTCCTTATTCACTTCAAGTGATCGAACAATCATTGGTGTACTCAATGTGTGCACTTTGTCCATGTAAAAGCATTTTAAGACCTTTTATGTATAGGTAGATTGATGGGTAAAGATCCCGTCTGCTAAATGTTCAATTTGCAGACCAAGACAAAGTTTTGTCTTTCCAAGATCTTTCATCTCAAATTTTTTCTTAAGATATTCAATTGCCTTTTGGAGCTCTTCTGGAGTTCCAACAAGATTTATGTCATCAACATAAACAACGAGTATAACAAATTTTGATGTCATTTTCTTTATAAAAATACATGGACAAATAACATTATTTATGTAACCTTCTTTCAAAAAATATTCACTAAGGCGATTATACCACATGCGCCCAGATTGCTTTAAGCCGTACAAAGATCTTTGTAATCTAATTGAATACATTTTCCGAGATTTTGAATTTGCTTCAGGCATTTTAAATCCTTCAGGGATCTTCATATAAAATTAATCAAATGAGTCATATAGGTTATGACTTACATTTAAATGGCATGACATCTTCAGGTATCTGGACTACAGGTCCGATCCTCACAATCTTTTACAATATTGTACACTATATTGTATCAAATATATCGTCGATGATCATTTTGTATCAGTTCGCAAGCGACATAACTTGTTGAGATCTCATCACTTTCTTTATTTTCATGTACCTGAACTTCTTCTAGAGTTTCATGAAATGTTATGTCGTGGGCTCTTCTAGAGCTTATTTCCTCCTTATTATGATCATTTTGATCATTTGCTCCTATTTTTTTCAAGGATTGTTACCTTTGGAACCGATAGATCTACCACGTTTCATGCGTACAGTAAACTCTATCCTTCACGGACTTTAATTTTAATAGGAGCATTTGCAGCTGAAATATAATATTTAATCTTGGATCAGCAAATAATTCTGGCATTTGACTTGAACTATCTTCTAAGCGAGGATCATATTAATGATAATTCGATTCATATAGCATATTTTTCAGCTATTTTATTCCATCCCCCAAATGTTAGACAACTAACTCATATTCCCAATCTTCTTTGGGAAACATATCTTTGTGCATTGTGGTAGAGAAATTAATCATACACCACACATCAAAAGTTATTAGATAGTAAAAATATTTGGTTTTTGATCCTAAACCAATTGTGAGGGGATGACTTATCATATTTTGTTGGTCTGATACATACAAGTGTTGTTGTATGTAATTTATAAAATCTTAGACCAACACATGAGGTTTTGTTCTCATAAGCAATAGTTTAGCCATTAATAGAAGATATTTAATGCTAAACTAGCTTGGATATAAACCAGCATCATCAAGATGAACTATCTTGATTTCATAATCTGAAAATTATGCTCTTAATTGAGAAAGGCAATTTCAAATGCCAAACTGCAGGTTGACAATAAACATACATGTAACCATCGCATATATGCAACTATAAGTGATTTACATGATAGGTGAATGGGCCCATATTCACCTTTTATATATTCCAGAATTCAGGCGTTTTAGTCCCAACTTTAGCTGGTATAATCAATTTATTATGAGAACAAGCAACACAAGAGAATTCTTGAAGAATTTTCTAGTTCTTTAGTATATGCTTATCTAAATTCTCAAATAGCTCATTTAAAAATGACAAATGAAAACTTCAAGTTTATCATGACACGTGCTATCTCTAAGTAAACTTCTGGTTTACTATGGCATAAACTTTTGCATCAGTAAATTTTTAATTTACTGTGGCTACTTTTGTATCAGTAAATTTCTGGTTTACAGTAGCTACTTTTGCCTCAGTAAAACTTCTAGTTTACTGTGACCACTTTTGCATTAGTAAACTTCTGGTTTACTGTGATATATGATATAGTACAAATTAAAGAATAAGGCGGGTCACTTCTCACATACATATTATTTTATCCTCTACGATTGTTGAAACATGAAGATTTTCAATCTTTCAGTCATTTGTAGTCTCAATATGATAGCCATTTGTATTAGTAAACTTCAGGTTTACTACAACATATGTTTTGACCATAATCATATAATATGAATGACATATTATTTATATATAAGCTCTTCGAGAGCCTTCATTTATTATCCACAGTCTAATATTTATTAGACACTTCTGGTGCCA